AATTTTGTCGAAAGCTTTCTCTGCATCTATTGAGATGACCATATGGTTTTTCTCCTTCAGTTTGTTAATATGGTGTATCACGTTGATTGATTTGCATATATTGAAGAATCCTTGCATTCCTGGAATAAACCCCACTTGATCATGGTGTATGATCCTTTTAATGTGCTGTTGGATTCTGTTTGCTAGTATTTTGTTGAGGATTTTTGCATCTATGTTCATCAGTGATATTGGCCTGTACTTTTCTTTCTTTGTGACATCCTTGTCTGGTTTTGGTATCAGGGTGATAGTGGCCTCGTAGAAAAAGTTTGGGAGTGTTCCTCCCTCTGCTATATTTTGGAAGAGTTTGAGAAGGATAGTTGTTAGCTCTTCTCTAAATGTTTGATAGAATTCACCTGTGAAGCCATCTGGTCCTGGGCTTTTGTTTGTTGGAAGATTTTTAATCACAGTTTCAATTTCAGTGCTTGTGATCGGTCTGTTCATATTTTCCATTTCTTCCTGATTCAGTCTTGGCAGGTTGTGCATTTCTAACAATTTGTCCATTTCTGCCAGGTTGTCCATTTTATTGCCATGAGTTGCTTGTAGTAATCTCTCATGATCTTTTGTATTTCTGCAGTGTCAGTTGTTACTTCTCCTTTTTCATTTCTAATTCTATTGATTTGAGTCTTCTCTCTTTTTTTCTTGATGAGTCTGGCTAATGGTTTATCAATTTTGTTTATCTTCTCAAAGAACCAGCTTTTAGTTTTAATGATCTTTGCTATCGTTTCCTTCATTTCTTTTTCATTTATTTCTGATCTGCTCTTTATGATTTCTTTCCTGCTGCTAACTTTGGGTTTTTTTGTTCTTCTTTCTCTAATTGCTTCAGGTGCAAGGTTACGTTGTTTATTCGAGATGTTTCCTGTTTCTTAAGGTAGGATTGTATTGCTATAAACTTCCCTCTTAGAACTGCTTTTGCTGCATCCCATAGGTTTTGGGTTGTCTTGTCTCCGCTGTCATTTGTTTCTAGGTATTTTTTGATTTCCTCTTCGATTTCTTCAGTGATCACTTGGTTATTAAGTAGTGTATCGTTTAGCCTCCATGTGTTTGTATTTTTTACAGATCTTTTCCTGTAATTGATATCTAGTCTCATAGCGTTGTGGTCGGAAAAGATACTTGATACAATTTCAGTTTTCTTAAATTTACCAAGGCTTGATTTGTGACCTAAGATATGATCTATCCTGGAGAATGTTCCATGAGCACTTGAGAACAATGTGTATTCTGTTGTTTTTGGATGGAATGTCCTATAAATATCAATTAAGTCCATCTTGTTTAATGTATCATTTAAAGCTTGCGTTTCCTTATTTATTTTCATTTTGGATGATCTGTCTATTGGTGAAAGTGGGGTGTTGAAGTCCCCTACTATGATTGCGTTACTGTCGATTTCCCCTTTTATGGCTGTTAGTATTTGCCTTATGTTTTGAGGTGCTCCTATGTTGGGTGCATAAATATTTACAATTGTTATATCTTCTTCTTGGATCGATCCCTTGATCATTTTGTAGTGTCCTTCTTTGTCTCTTCTAATAGTCTTTATTTTAAAATCTATTTTGTCTGATATGAGAATTGCTACTCCAGCTTTCTTTTGTTTTACATTTGTATGGAATATCTTTTTCCATCCCCTCACTTTCAGTCTGTACATTTCTCTAGGTCTGAAGTGGGTCTCTTGTAGACAGCATATATATGGGTCTTGTTTTTGTATCCATTCAGCCAATCTGTGTCTTTTGGTGGGAGCATTTAGTCCATTTACATTTAAGGTAATTATCGATATGTATGTTCCTGTTACCATTTTCTTAACTGTTTTGGGTTTTTTATTTTAGGGCTTTTCCTTCTCTTGTGTTTCTTGCCTAGAGAAGATACTTTAGCATTTGTTGTAAAGCTGGTTTGGTGGTGCTGAACTCTCTCAGCTTTTGCTTGTCTGTAAAGGTTTTAATTTCTCCATCAAATCTGAAAGAGATCCTTGCTGGGTATAGTGATCTTGTTTGTAGATTTTTCTCCTTCATCACTTTAAATATGTCCTGCCAGTCCCTTCTGGCTTGCAGAGTTTCTGCTGAAAGATCAGCTGTTAACCTTATGGGGATTCCCTTGTGTGTTATTTGTTGTTTTTCCCTTGCTGCTTTTAATATGTTTTCTTTGTATTTAATTTTTCGCAGTTTGATTAATATGTGTCCTGATGTGTTTCTCCTTGGATTTATCCTGTATGGGACTCTCTGTGCTTCCTGGACTTGATTAACTTTTCCTTTCCCATATTAGGGAAGTTTTCAACTGTAATCTCTTCAAATATTTTCTCAGTCTGTTTCTTTTTCTCTTCTTCTTCTGGAACCCCTATAATTTGAATGTTGGTGCATTTATTGTTGTCCCAGAATTCTCTGAGACTGTCCTCAGTTCTTTTCATTCTTTTTTCTTTATTCTGTTCTGCAGTAGTTATTTCCACTATTTTATCTTCCAAGTCACTTATCCGTTCTTCTGCCTCAGTTATTCTGCTATTGATCCCTTCTAGAGTATTTTTAATTTCATTTATTGTGTTGTTTATCATTGCTTGTTTCATCTTTAGTTCTTCTAGGTCCTTGTTAAATGTTTCTTGCGTTTTGTCTATTCTATTTCCAAGATTTGGGATCATCTTTACTATCATTATTCTGAATTCTTCTTCAGGTAGACTGCCTATTTCCTCTTCACTTGTTAGGTCTGGTGGGTTTTTATCTTGCTCCTTCATCTGCTGTGTGTTTTCCTGTCTTCTCATTTTGCCTATTTTACTGCGTTTGGGGTCTCCTTTTTGCAGGCTGCAGGTTCGTAGTTCCCGTTTTTGTTTTTGGTTTTTGGGGTTTTTTTTTGCGGTATGCGGTCCCCTCACTGCTGTGGCCTCTCCCATTGCGGAGCACAGGCTCTGGACACGCAGGCTCAGTGGCCGTGGCTCACGGGCCCAGCCACTGTGCAGCACGTGGGATCTTCCTGGACCGGGAAACGAACCCGTGTCCCCTGGATCAGCAGGTGGACTCTCAACCACTGTGCCTGCAGGGAAGCCCCCCGTTGTTTTTGGTGTCAGTCCCCAGTGGCTAAAGTTGGTTCAGTGGGTTGTGTGGGCTTCCTGGTGGAGGGGACTAGTGCCTATGTTCTGGTGGATGAGGCTGGATCTTGTCTTTCTGGTGGGCAGGTCCACGTCTGGTGGTGCGCTTTGGTGTGTCTGTGTACTTACTATGATTTTAGGCAGCCTCTCTGCTAATGGTGGGGTTGTGTTCCTGTCTTGCTAGTTGTTAGGCATAGGGTGTCCATCACTGTAGCTTGCTGGTCGTTGAGTGAAGCTGGGTGTTGGTGTTGAGAAGGAGATCTCTGGGAGATTTTCACCATTTGATATTACATGGTGCTGGGAGGTCTCTTGTGGACCAGTGTCCTGAAGTTGGCTCTCCCACCTCAGAGGCACAGCACTGACTCCTGGCTGCAGCACCAAGAGCCTTTATCCACACGGCTCAGAATAAAAGGGAGAAAAAGTAGAAAGAAAGAAAGAGGATAAAAGAAAATAAAATAAAGTTATTCTAATAAAAAAATAATTATTAAGAAAAAAAATTTTTTAAGTAAAAAAAAACAAAAGAAAATCAGACAGATAGAACCCTAGGACAAATGGTGAAAGCAAAGCTATACAGACAAAATCTCACACAGAAGCATACACACTCACAAAAAGAGGAAAAGGGGAAAAAATAATAAATCTTGCTCTTGAAGCCAACCTTCTCAGTTTGGGATGATTCGTTGTCTATTCATGTAATCCACAGATGCAGGGTACATCAAGTTGATTGTGAAGCTTTAATCCGCTGCTCCTGAGGCTGCTGGGAGAGAGTTCCCTTTTTCTTCTTTGTTCGCACAGTTCCCGGGGTTCAGCTTTGGAATTGGCCCTGCCTCTGTGTGTAGGTCGCCGGAGTGTGTCTGTTCTTCGCTCAGACAGGACGGGGTTAAAGGAGCAGTTGATTCGGGGGCTCTGGCTCACTCAGGCTGGGGGGAGGGAGGGGTACGGAGTGCGGGGCGAGCGTGCGGCGGCAGAGGCCAGCATGACGTTGCACCAGCCTGAGGCGCGCCGTGCATTCTCCCGGGGGAGTTGTCCCTGGATCCCGGGATCCTGGCAGTGCAGGCTGCACAGGCTCCCCGGACGGGAGGTGTGGAGAGTGACCTGTGCTCGCACACAGTCTTCTTGGTGGTGGCAGCAGCAGCCTTAGTGTCTCATGCCTGTCTCTGGGGTCCGCGCTGTTAGCCGCGGCTTGCGTCTGTCTCTGGAGCTCCTTTAAGCAGTGCTCTTAATCCCCTCTCCTCGCGCACCGGGAAACAAAGAGGGAAGAAAAAGTCTCTTGCCTCTTTGGCAGGTCCAGACTTTTCCCTGGACTCCCTCCCGGGTAGCTGTGACGCACTAACCCCCTGCAGGCTGTGTTGATGCCGCCAGTTCTCTCCCTGCGATCCGACCGAAGCCCGAGCCTCAGCTCCCAGACCCGCCCGCCCTGGCGGGTGAGCAGACAAGCCTCTCGGGCTGGTTAGTGCTGGTCGGCCCTGATCCTCTGTGCGGGAATCTCTCCGCTTTGCCCTTGGCACCCCGTGGCTGTGCTCTCCTCCACAGCTCCGAAGCTTCCCCCCTCCACCACCCGTAGTCTCCACCCGCAAAGGCGCTTCTAGTGTGTGGAAACCTTTCCTCCACAGCTCCCTCCCACTGATGCAGGTGACGTCCCTATTCTTTTGTCTCTGTTTTTTCTTTTTTTTTTTTTTTTTTCTTTTGCCCTACCCAGGTACGTGGGGAGTTTCTTGCCTCTTGGGAGGTCTGAGGTCTTCTGCCAGCCTTCAGTAGGTGTTCTGTAGGAGTTGTTCCACGTGTAGATGTATTTCTGATGTACCTGTGGGGAGGAAGGTGATCTCTGCGTCTTACCCTTCCGCCATCTTCCCCCTCTCTCCTCTGATTACTGTGTATTTTGGTTTTTACTATTGTTGTCTATTACCAGGAAAACACCATAATCCTGCATCAGCTCCTCCCACTGCGGACGAAAGTAGCCAAACTGCTCGGCTATAGCACACATGCTGACTTTGTCCTTGAAATGAACACTGCGAAGAGTACAGGCCACGTAACAGCCTTTCTAGGTTAGTCTTCTTTTCTTAATCCCTTGTATATTGCCATTTCTCTTTTTCTGTGACTGTTTTGCTGCATAGTACCAACTTGACAGAGAGCCTCAGAACTTAATATGCCCTTGAGAACATTCTGCTTTTCATTCATGCAAGAGAAATGTATTGGTCACCTACTATATGTTAGATACTGTGCTTGGCCCTAAGAGTTGCTCATTGTTTATATTACTGTTATGGTCCTTGCTTCATTCTATTTGTATCTTGATGGGGATTTTTATATTAATTTCTAAGAAGATGTCTAGGGACCTACAGAGAGAGGATTAGCCTGTTGTATGAAATAAGCTGACAGGACATAAATGAAAATAGAGCATATAGAAACAAAAAAATATTTTATATTCCAGAAGCCACTTGTTAATGCATAAAAGAATATAAAATAATAAGCATCAAAATTGTTATCTAATAACTATCTTCACATTCATTTAAAATCACTTTTTCATTAATCTTTTCAAAACCATAGAGCTTATGTCCATGACATTTAGTCAGTGACACTCTATCACCCTTACCCCTCTCAATCTCAGTGTCACTATTCCAAGTCACTCTGGTTTTCTTTTTCATTTTAGTGAAAATGGTTGAATAACGTAACCGTTGCAAAAATACTAATTTTTGTTTTAATCTTCTCTAATCAGAGTTTACCAGAGTATGATTTATTTTTTAACTTTCTCATTGACCCCTTTCAGAGTTTATTCACCTTTAACAACTAGTGTATAATTTTATTAGCTTAAAGTTGGAGATGATTAATAATGTGTCAAAATCAGCATGCAGCCTGCACTTTAGTCCTCTGTGTTCTCTATGGCCACACCTTGAATTATTAATGTATATGCTGACATCACATATGACATGTAGCAGGTGTTGCACAAATAGTAGCTATTCATTATTATATAATTCATTTATTCATTCATGAGACATTTATGAAATAACTGCCCTGTATTAGTGTGCGTGCTACACAGTTGGACTATAGAAAGGGCTAAGACAAGGTTCTTTACTCAATGAATTTTCCGCTGAGCGGAAACAACAGAGATGTGAACCAGTAATTGCCATCTGTTCTGATGTATTGTATACAAGAGATTGGCTTGGGGAGTTAATAGTTTTGGTGAGAATGTTTCCTTTAGTGGTGATTGTGTATACTGAAAATTTTCCTTAACAATACCTCATTAACTTAATTTTTTAAAAGCAGTTTTCTCTCTAATCAGAATTACATCTCTCTATATCTTCCATCATTTTCCTCTTTTTGTTTCACAGCACTGCTCAAGCTGCTGCCTTCACCTCACACTATGGGGATTCCCCTTACAGAAGCAATGCTTTTTATCTTACATATGTAGCAAATTGTGGAAAATAAATACATAATAAAAGCATACTCCTTTAGCCAAATACAGTGCAATAGTCAAAAACGAACCACAGTGTTAAATTGCAGTATCCATCTAAAAAGTAGAATTGCCATGTCCAAATAGACCTTCTTCATAGGAATGGGATAGTGATTAACTAAACCCATGGCTCTCAAAGGCGATGAACAGTTTTCAGTAATTCTGACCTCAGGTCACACCTGATTTGTTTTCCCTAGATCTCTGAGGAGCCTAACCTCATTGAAGAATAATCACATACATGAGTTTAGTTTCACTACCGCTTCTTTCCCTGAATTATAATGTTCTTAAGGCAGAGTTCTCTGAGATAAACTTCAGCTTTGTTGATGATGTAAGGAAGTTGTGGCCTGATTTGGGTGGTGCATAAAAAAAAAAAAAAAAAAGAAGAAGGGTGAGGAGCCATAAAATAAATTACCCTGAAGAGAACAGCAGTGCTGTCATAATAAAGCCTGCTTTCCTCTCTCCCTCCCTCCCTTCCTCTCCCCTTCCTTCCACCCTTCCTTCCTTCTTTTTTCCTGATGTATCTGTATTGAGTGTGACAAAGGAGGAAGCACAATGCTAAAATACTGGTGGTATGTATGAATATGCCTGCTTCCAAGAGCAATGGATTGCCAACTTTTCCCTCTCCTCACAGATGATTTAAGCCAGAAATTAAAACCCTTGGGTGAAGCAGAACGAGAGTTTATTTTGAATTTGAAGAAAAAGGAATGTGAAGAGAGAGGTCTTGAATACGATGGGAAAATCAATGCCTGGGATCTATATTACTACATGACTCAGACAGAAGAACTCAAGTACTCTGTAGACCAAGAGATCCTCAAGGAATACTTCCCAATTGAAGTGGTCACTGAAGGCTTACTGAACATCTACCAGGAGCTGTTGGGACTTTCATTTGAGCAAGTGACAGATGCTCATGTTTGGCATAAGAGTGTTACACTTTACACTGTGAAAGATAAAGCTACGGGAGAAGTATTAGGACAGTTCTACCTGGACCTCTATCCAAGGTACTGAGGATCACCGTGTTGGAAGGGACCTTAGGGATTCAACTCCTACCCAGATTAAGATTCTTGTCTTTCATAATTCTCATATGTGATTCCTAGTATAGGGATTAAAAATGTGGGATCTGAAGCCAGAATGTCTGGCTCCATCACTTACTAGGCAGGTTACTTAATTTTTCTCTGCCTCAGTTTCCTTACCTATATTACAGTCCTATGAAATGGGAATACCAATCATACCTGCTTTGTAAGGTCGTTGTAAGGACTAAAATGGTTAATTACATGCAAAGCTTTTAGAAGACTACCGAGCACACAACAAGTGCTTAGTAAATGTGAGCTGCTATTATCATCACTATTATCATTATCATCATCATTATCTAGGATTGAACCTGGGCCCACGGCAGTGGAAGCACAGAGTGCAGACCACTGGACTGCCAGGGAATTCCCTGCATTTCTTAATTTAAAATTGACTTCAGAATGTTTATTATTCAGGTGATCTGTCTGCCAGTACTCTTAAATCTATGTCCACTCCCTTCAGTCTGGCTGAAAGGCAGCACAGTATAAAGGAATAGCAAAATCTTGGCGGTCAGTCAAACTTGAGTTGGAATGCTTGAGTGACATAACCTTTATGAGTCTCTATATCCACCTCTATTATATGGGAATGGTGTTTGCTTTACAGGTTTGCTTTGTGCATTAGACTATATATGCTAATCACCCAGCCTGGGCATTCAATCAGTAGTAAGACTTAAAAATATTATTATTATTGTCTCTGTAGCATGTAGTAACTATGTACTCCACAGTGTTTCATCAGACATGAAAGGATTTGGATTACTTTCTCTGTAGGCTGCTTTCTAAAACAAAGCCAGCTTGTTGCAGTTTTACGAACTAGGCCAGAGTAAATTATATCAATAGCATCTCTCTAGATCAGCAGCACATGCAACTTCGTAACCTACTGATTTTGCATGACTTCAGGAAGGAGGCTGGTTAACTATTGTCAACCAGACAGGAGGCAGAGTTGTCTGATCCCACTGCTTTATGGACTTACTTTCACTTCTGTTATGATCTAAAAATAAACCCATGTCAAATTGGATAAGTCTATTTTTAATTGAAGAGTGTCAGGATACAGTTTTAGGCCAAGAATTCTTTCAGGGGAACTCCTTCAGCATTGGAGCCTCCTATAACTGTCCCCGGATTCTCTTTCCATGGCCAAAGATAGCAAGTCTAGCTACCCCATCCTGCTGTTTCTTTGCCAAGATATAACTGGTGTCTTTTGTGCTCAGAGATCTGGCCATTGCTACCAGCACTCAGGTATGGGGACCAGAGAGTGATGTTTTGTGAGGGTAGTGACCTAGTTAATATTCACTTTCTGTCTCCTGACGTGCTTGCTTCTTGTTTTCTTTGTCTACTTGACTCAAAAAAAAGGATATTTGTAGTAGATTAGGAAAGACCAGTTTCTTCTTTTTTTAAATCACGTATCAATTTTTATTCATCAAACACTGAGATTGTCAAACAACAGGAAAAAAACCTCTAATGGTTCCAACATAAGATTGCCAGGTAAGGGCATCTTTTAAAATCACCATCATTTTGGGCTTCCCTGGTGGCGCAGTGGTTGAGACTCTGCCTGCCGATGCAGGGGACACGGGTTCGTGCCCCGGTCCAGGAAGATCCCACGTGCTGCGGAGCGGCTGGGCCCGTGAGCCATGGCCGCTGAGCCTGCGCGTCCGGAGCTTGTGCTCCGCAACGGGAGAGGCCACAACAGTGAGAGGCCCACGTACCGCAAAAAAAAAAAAAAAAAAAATCACCATCATTTTATAAACACAACGTAGAAAAGACATACTCTCAGAGTAAGGAAACCTCTGATATTAAATAAATCAAATTTATTTTTTAAAAAGAAAGATAAAAACCCCTCAATGGCACTGATTTTTAAATTGGTCGAAAGTCCTTATGGTGTTTCATAATGGACCAAGATATATAAAATATAACAGGATAAACACCTTGCAGATTAGTTTGTTTTCCCCGGTAAAATAATATTTATAGATCTGTTTACCTGTTTAAACAATTCAGTCTAACTACATGAAATTATTCCAGAAACACTGATGGGCCCATTGAACATCCAGAGGCTGGACTGGCTGAAAATGTTATCAAATTCAGTGCACGGTTTCTGGTGTACATGTCCCTGGGTTCTCTTCCCTTCTCTCCCCTCCTCTGTCTGCCTTCCCTTCCCATGTCCCTGCTCACTCCTAGCTCAGCCTGACACAGTTCTTTTCTGCTGTTGTTGTTGTCATTTATTTATTTTTACTTATTTATTTTAAACAGACTTTATCTTTTAGAGCAGTTTTAGATTCACAGCAAAACTGACCCTAAAGTAAAGAGATTTCCTGTATATCCCCTGCCCCGCACACGCACAGTTTCCCCCATTATCAACGTCCCCCACCAGAGTGGTACATTTGTTATAACCTACGTTGACACATCATTGTCACCCAAATTATATTTGGGTTCACTGTTGCTGTTATACTTTCTTGGGATTTGAAAAAACATATATAATGTGTATCTACCATTATAGTATCATACAGAGTAGTTTCACTGCCCTAAAAATCCCCTGTGCTTGGCCTCTTCATCCCTTCCCCCACCACCCCAGCCCCTGGCGACCACTGATCTTTTTACTTTCTCCATAGTTTTGCCTTTTCTGAAATGTCATACAGATGGAATTATACAGTATGTAGCCTTCTCAGATTGGCTTCTTTCATTTAGCATTATGCATTTAAAGTTCCTCCATGTCTTTTCATGACTTAATAGCTCATTTCTTTTCTTTTTAGCACTGAATAATATTCCATTGTCTGGATATACCACAGTTTATTTACCCATTCATCTACTAAAGGACATTTTGGTTGCTTCCAAGTTTTGGCAATTATGAATAAAGCTGTTATAAACATGTGCAGGTTTTTGTGTGGACATAAATTTCCAGTCCCTTTGGGTAAATACCGAGGAGTGCAATTGCTAGATTGTATGGTAAGAGTATGTTTAGTTTTGTAAGAAACCACCAAACTGTCTTCCAGAGTGCATGTACCATTTTTGCATTCCCACCAGTGATGAATGAGAGTTTCTATTGTTCCACTTCCCTGTCAGCATTTGGTGTTGTCAGTATTCTGGATTTTGGTCACTCTAATAGGTGTGTAGTGGTAGCTCGTTGTTTTAATTTGCATTTCCCTGATGACATATGACGTGGAACAACTTATCATATACTTGACTACCATCTCTGTATCTCCTTTGAGGAGGTGTCTGTTAAGGTTTTTGGTATATTTTTTAATCTGATTGTTTGTTTTCTTATTGGTGAATTTTAAGAGTTCTTCGTGTATTTGGATAACAGTCTTTTATCAGATGTCTCTTTTGTAAATATTTCCTCACAGTCTATGGCTTGTCTTATCAATTTCTTGACAGTGTTTAATGAAATCCAGCTTATTGATTTTTTTTCTTTCATGGATTGTGCCTTCAGTGTTTCATCTAAAAAGTCATTGCCAAACCCAGGGTCATCTAGATTTCCTCCTACATTATATTCTAGGAATTTTGTAGTTTTACATTTTGCATTTAGGTCTGTGATCCATTTTTGAGTTATTTTTTGTGAAGAGTGTAAGGTCTGTGTCTCGACTCATTTTTTTGCATGTGGACTCCTAGTTGTTCCAGCATCATTTGTTGAAAAAAAAGTCTGTGCTCCATTGTCTTTATCTGTGCCTTTGCCCTTTAGTCAAAGAGAAGTTGACTATATTTATAGAAGTATATTTTTAATTTCCAAATATTTGGATATTTTCCAGCTAGCCTTCTGTTATTTCTAGTTTGGTTCTGTTATTATTGGAGAATGTACTTTATATCCTTTGAATTCTTTTAAGTTGTTTTGATTTACAGCCAACATGTAATTAGTCTTGGTGAATGTTCCATGTGCACTTGAGTATTTGTTTTGTGTTGTTAGGTTGAGGGTTCTGTAAATGTCAGTTAGGTGAAGATGACCAATAATGTTGTTCAGGTGTTCTATATCTGAGCTGATATTCTCTCAGCCTGTTCATTTAATTACTGAGAAAGGAATGAAGTCTCTAAGTGATTTGTCTATTTCTTCTTTCAGTTCTGTCGGCTTTTGCTTCATGTATTTTTTTTAATTGAAGTATAGTTGATTTACAATGTTGTGTTAATTTCTGCTGTACAGCAAAGTGATTCAGTTATACATATATATACACGATCTTTTTTATACTCGTTTCTATTATGATTTGTCACAGGATATTGAATTGTTTAGTATATTTTGAAGCTCTGCTTTTAGTTATACACATATTTAGAATTGTTATATCTCCTTAGAGAACTGTCCCCTTTATCGTTATATAATGTTCCTTATTATCTTTAGTAATATTCCTTGTTCTGTTTGTCTGCTATTACTATAGCCATTCAGCTTTCATCTGATTAGCATTTGCAGTGTATCTTTTTCCATCCTTTAACTTTTTACCTTTGCCTTTTTATTTAGAGTGGGTTTCTTATAGACACTGTACTTGGTGCTTGCTTTTTTATCCACTCTAATAATGTTTTAATTGACATGCTTAGGAAACTTACATTTAGTATAACCATCTTACTTTTTGTCCCATCTATACTTTCCCCACTTTTCTGACTTCTTTTGGATTGATAGGTTTTTTTATGATTTATTTTTGTCTCTACTGTTGGCTTATTATTTACATCTCCTTTTAATATTTTTAAATTAAAAAATTGCCTAAGGGTTTAAAGTATATATCAATATCTTCAATCACAGTCTACCTTCAAGTTATATTTCTTATCATTTGTGCTATCGTTGGCCTACATGTTATTTTCACATATGCTTAACACCCAGTGCGTTGTTAGTATTATTGATTAGTCAACTATTATTCACAGCAATTCAAAATAGATTGTAATATATCTTCATTTATTATATTTTCAGCACTAATTGCTTTGTTGTTACAAGTTTAGAGTGGTATCACATCCCTTCTGCCTGAAGAACTTCCTTTAAAATCTCTTGTAGTTCACGTCTGTTGGTAATATATACCAGTTTTTTTGAGAAAGTCTTTCCTTTACTTTCTTTTGTGAAATGTATTTTTTACTATTTATAGAATTCTGGGTTCACAGGTATTTTCTATCAGTACTTTAAAGATGGCATTCCATTGTCTTCTGGCTTGCAGAGTTTCTGACAAGAGATTGGCTGTAATTCTTACTGTGTTCTTTTTGTGTTCTTACTGTGTTCTGTACTGAGTTCTTTTCCTCTGACTGCCTTCAAGATTTTCTCTTTGTTCCTCTCTTTCAGCAGTTCCATACACTTAGGCATATGGGATAATTGTTTCTTTTTTCTTTTATTGGTTGTTTGCTTTGTATTTGTCTTCCTTGGTGTTCTTTGAACTTGTTGGATCTGTGGTTTAGTGTTGTTAATTTTGGAAAGTTCTGAGCTATTCTTTTGGTTTTTGGGGGGTTTTTTTGGCCCACACCACACAGCTTGCAGGCTTTTAGTTCCCCAACCAGGGATTGAACCCAGGCCCTCGGCAGTGAAAGCGCAGAGTCCTAACCACAGGACCACCAGGGAGTTCCCTAATTTTGGAAAATTCTCAGCTATTCTTCAAATATTTCTTCTATCCTGTTCTCTATTCTCCTTCTGAAATTCCACTTACATATATAATAGATCATTTGATATTGTCCTGCAGCTCTTGAGTCTTTGTTTGTTTTGTTTTGTTTTTTGTTTTTGGCACCCTTTTAAAAATCTTTGTGTTTTAGGGTAATTTCTATTGGCCTATCTTTTGGTTCAGTGATTCTTCCCATGGCTGTGGGAAGTCTATCAATGAGACTATCAAAGGCATTCTTCATCCCCATTACTGCGCTTTTTATTTCTAGCATTTTCATTTTATTCTCACAGTTTCCAGCTCTCTCCCAAAATTATCCATCTGACTGTGCATTTTCCTCCAAAACCTTTAACATTTAAGTTATTGTAAATATTCTGTCTGATAGCTCCAACATCTTTGTCATATCTGAGTCTATTTTTCTTGCCCTCTTTGCCTCTTGACATTGTGTCTTTTTTCCTTGCGTCTCCATGTGCCTTATAATTTTTTTTTAAGTCAGACACTTATATAAGACAGAAAAGACTAAGGTAAATAGTTTTTATACCTGACAGTGGGCACATATGTACTTCTGCTAGGCCTTTAATGTGAGTCTTTAACTCATTCCATTTAGTAGTTGAGCTGGGTTTGGACCTTGTTATTGCTATGGTTAACCTCAGTGAACCCAAAGCTTCAGATTCCTGTATGTGTTTAGGATGAGAGCTTATTTGCCAGAGTTTTTCTCAGTGTCTGTGTTCCACTTAGTTTGAGGTTGTTCATTTGTGCTGTGCCTTAGAGCAGGTCTCTTTTCATGCTCTTGTTCCTCTCCCTGCAGTAGACTGCTATTGTTTATTACTGGATGCCTAATAGCCTGGAAAGGTGGGGTGGGGGTCTTTTCTGTTCAGTCTTACCCTGGGTCTGAGGAGTAGACCTATATACTGATACTGCCCCACCCTCAGTTGTAGGTCTGGGCCCAGGATGTTTTCCTGCCCTACCTTCAGGAGTAGAGTGTTTTTTTGTGTTACCATCCCCCCAGCGGCAGTGGGTTTTTACCAGTTTTCTTAGGGCAACAGGGTTTGTTGCCTTTCCATGAGAAGTTCAAGGCTCGTGTCCACTAGGAGAGAGGTGAAATGGATCTAGGCAATGCTCCCTTCCACCAGGCTTGCATCAGCACTGATTCTTTCCCAGAGCTCTCATCCTGCCCCTGTCTTTTTTGTGTGTACTCAGTGAGGTCTAAGGAGAAGACTCTGCAAATGGATGCAAAATTTCCCTTATCTAATAACTCCTAGTGGTTCCCTATTTTTGCTGGTTCACCATCAATCTTTATCAATTTGTTAAAAATTTTCTTACTGGTGTCTGCAGTGTCTGCCCCAGGTTGAAAACAAACAAACCAAAAACCCAAAAAGTGCTTGTTTCCTTTCTCTTTCTCCTTGGAGGCATCTGTCTTAGATGGATTGTAGGTTGGTTGCCCTTCAACCTTCACTTTCCGATGGGTTCAAGAAAAGTTGTGATTTGCAAATTGTCCAGCATGTTGTTGTAAGAATAGGAGCAATGCCCTTTTCAGCTTTCTACATCTTAATAGGAAGCAGTAAAAAGACTAGTTTGTTTTTGTTTTTATTTTACCTGAATAACTTCAGCAGGAAAAAAGTTATGAGTCGCCAAGAAAAGATAATACAGAAAAAGATATGCAAATCAAAACATCAAACTAAAAAATTCACACTAAACCTGAATGTACGTTCATGTTCTGAGCAAAGAAAAAAGGAGGAAACCTATCCCTGTAATAAAGTCTAATGGTCCATAGCTTTTGAGAGCTACCATCACTGGTATCACATTGTCCTAGAATAGATGACTTTATAGTATAATTTATGCTTTTTCCAAGGCTAAATAAAAGCATTCTGTTTCAAAAAAGGCCTGTCTGGCTTATAAAAGGAGCTCATTTAATTATGAGTACTGATTCTTCCCTCCTTGAATAAAAGAACAATATTACTGTCTGGATTTTAGTTTTTATCAGTTTTTTTTAATCAATTTTAACTTTAAGGAAAAACTACCTAGTAAGTCAAACTCCATTATTTCACTTTTGCTTCAGCACTATTTAGTGTTTATTGACTCTATCTTTGAAGACAAAAAGCAAGAGCTTGTTACAATAAATTGGACATTCAGCTGTACCCTACTTGTGGTGTATATTCTTAATTCTTATATTAAGATTTCAACAAAAGAAACCTTGGAAATATAACTCATATCAAGTGATAGTGGGGTTTTTGTTTGTCTAGTTTTCGTTGTTTCATTTCAACAAAACATCGACCCACTTTGTAAAATGTTTCAAAGCATCTCCTGTTATCAAATATGGTTAAATGACTGAGAGAGGCCATGCCAATGTTGTTGCTAGAGAAGAGTGTTTGTATCTCACCAACTGTGCTTCTGGTTCCTTAGGGAAGGAAAATATAACCACGCAGCCTGCTTTGGTCTCCAGCCTGGCTGCCTCCTGCCTGATGGGAGCCGCATAATATCTGTGGCTGCCCTCGTGGTGAACTTCTCACAGCCACTAGCAGGTCGTCCCTCTCTCCTGAGACACGATGAGGTGAGGACTTACTTCCATGAATTTGGTCACGTCATGCATCAGATTTGTGCACAGGTGAGTGATTTTTTTTTTTTTATGGTAGACCTACTAATTGCTTTTCCAGATTTTTTTTCCACCAATGTCAGGTTTCTCAACATGTTTCTTAACATGTTTTCTCAGAAGCTGAACATGTTCAAAAATTTCATAGGCCTTCTGCAGAAACACGAAATTTTTCTTACTATGTTTTCACAACATACCTTTACTCAGAGATTGATCCACTAATGAAAGAGCTTCATTGAATACTACCCTATGAAAAAAAAAGAAAACTGTCATTAAGGAAGGGTTACAAATACTGTGTTTTTTCCTTTCAAATCTTTTCCTCATAGGAATTTGGTGTAAGCTTCAGAGATAAACTGTGCTATAATCTGTCTTTTCTGCTTATTAATGCTTTGTTTAGTTCAATGGTTTTCAATCATCCAGACTCTGTACTCCATTTTTAATAATAAATATTTTGTAACACCTTCCTTTACTAGCCTTCAATTAAAATCACAGATAGCACGGTATAACCATGGGGAGAATTTACTAAGAAAGAGAATGTGTGTGTGCAGTGGATTGCAACTAATTTCTCTTTATTTTTAAAAATGAAAAGTGTATTTATTCTAAACTTTGTAGCATAGTCCAGTAAACTAGGCCCACACTATTCTAGGATGAACCATATGAACATGCCAATATTTAACCGCTGTTGACATACGAAAACATCTAGTTCAGTTGTTCAGCCTAACAGTTTAAAAACTGATATTTACAGAAGTAGAGGGACAGTTTTCCAAATTTGAAATCTCCATGCATCTCTAAAGATGAACTTTTTAGAAATAACCTCTTTATCAGAATAGTTTTAGATTTACAGAAAAGTTGCAAAGACAGTACTCCTCACCCTGTTTCCCCTACTGTTAACATCTTATAGTACATTTACTACAACTAAGAAGCTAACAGCATTGGTACAGTACTCCTAACTAAACTCAACACTTTATTTGGATTTAACTAGTTTTTCCCTAAAGGTCTTTTTCTATACAGATAATTTTTTTTTAATCTATGCAATATCCTCACTGCATAAAAGAAAGCATTTTGTTTATGTTTTTCAAATTGTAATGCCTGGGCATGGCTGTGTAGTAAGACATAAGGAAGTAGTCAGGTTATACGTGAATGACCCCGAATCTTGCAGCAAAAACTGCAGACTGATACTTAAGCGGTTTGTTTTGTCCATTCAAGTCCAAGAATGGTATAGCCAGTTGTCAGATTACTATAGATTAGTTCAGATTGCTATTAGTTCAGATTGCTATAATTAGTTCAGATTGCTATAACAGAATACCATAGATTGGGTGACTTAAAAATAACAGAAATTTCTCACAGTTCTGGGAGCTGAAGTCCAAGATCAAGGTGCTGGCAGATTTGATGTCTGCTGAGGACCTGCTTTCTGGTTCAGAGATAGCACCCTCTCACTGTGTCTTCACATAGCGGAAAGGAGCTCTCTGGGATCTCTTTTATAAGGCACTAATCCCAGCCATAGGACTTCACCTTCATGACTTCATCATCTCCCAAAGGCCCCACCTCCTACCATCATACTGGGGGTTAGGTGTCAACATATGAATTTAGGGGTGGGACACAAACATTCAGGCCTCAATAGTGACATGATTTTCCAAAATGGTGACTATCTCTTGGGACACTTCCAAATAGAAAGTAATCTTACTTTGATTTACACAATTGATTCTAGTAGTTAGAGTCTTGGAAACTTTAAATGTGCAAAAAAAATTTTGTAAAAATATGTGCAATGGAGTTAGTTTCTAGGCTCACTTAATTACAGATTTTTCATTGATATGAATGTCCAGCAGGGCATATGAATGACATGCAGAATAGGGGACAATTTTTCATTGTCTTGACATGTGCAGTTCAGTCCTGGACATCCAGCATCCCACCCCCAGAGCAGCCCCTAATCATTGTAATAACCAAAAATGTACCCACTCTTTTCCAGAATACTACTATCACTTTTGTTAAAAAAAAGTATTTAGTTCTTTCAACATTTTATCTTTACATCCTGGTGTTTCCATGTTTTATTTTAAAAAACAGAGGGGACTCCGGTATGAATCTATTCAGATAAATAATTCCTAATATACTGATATAGCCATTTCTACTCTCTGTTTAATCCAAGGAAAATAAAGCTTTCAGAATAACCTAAATTTTCTTTCTTAGGTAATTTTAAAGTCTATTTTCACAGCAGTAGGTTTCCTGAAATATTTATTTTCCATCAGTGTTCATTCTATGACTGACATTTCCTTTAATTAGGATAAGTCTAGGTTCCATTTCTCTCAAGTGTTTTTATGAATAATTTGGGAAAGTCAAATATTTTTCTTAATTTCAGACTTAGGTTACTTAGATTATCTAAGATCTTAGTTATGTATTTGTACACAGATAAACAATAGTCTGCTTTTAGAACAGTGGATCTTAACTTCTTTGGATCTGAGAACCTATGAAAATATGACTTAAGCTATAGATACCTCTTCCAGAAAAATGCACTTTCACTTATACAGTCAGATTTCTACCTGGAATTTCAAAGGGCACACCGACCCCCTGAAGCCCAGACCATACTGAATTCCAAGTTAAAAACTGGGTTAGAGCAGTTTCCTCCTTTATTTGGATGTTGATTATCAGCTAGTGATTTCTGAGGAAGTAATTTGGTGTCTTAATCACATTTATTAAAATAATACTGATCCTCAGATAGGGTTTTCCATGCTTTTGATGCATGTTCTTGTTTTCAAACACAGCCCTCTTATAACCTTAATATTGTATGCTTATCATGTGTTCACGGTACAGTTCTCTACAACTCTTGTTATTCTCATTATTTCTTACATTAATTTTGATTCTTTGAAATACTCATTTTAGTACTGGAAAATAACTGTCCTGGTATTATTTCATTTTAAAGCTCTGTAACTCATGAATGAAATGTATATACATATATATATATAAATGAACTATATATGAGTATATAATTATATATATGACCAAACATATATATGACTGAACTACACACATGAATATATATGAATCAGTATGTATACTGATATACTGATGATAATATATATACTGATATTCTGCTGATAGCATATTTACTGTTGATCAATATATATACTGATGAATGAAATATATGTATGTTTCATATATACACATATATATGAATCAGCTATATATATGTACATACAATTATATATATGACAACTATACATATGAATATATACATGAATCAGTGTATATACTGATGATGAATGATGTCTCTTTCTTGAAACAGTAGATTATATTCAATTCTTAGAATTTGCCTAACCTCCTTCTTGAACACGAAATGTGTCATACAGATGAATGGTGTACTAGTACAGTCCCTTACCTGGTCATCACCTAATGACATAATCTTCGAAAAATCTCTTGTCTGTCTGTTAATCCTTTCAAATGTCCTGTAACGTTTTAAGATCTTTTAAAGTAATGTATTTGAAACCAGTGATCACTGCTTTTGTCTTAAAAGTAACAGATGCAGATCCATATATTTGCAGCTTTATAATGATTTCAAAACCTTTTGTACTGACCTAAAGTAGATGGCAGTGAAAAAGGAGTTTAATAGTTTCTGTGTTCAGTAATACTTCTGACTTATCTGAGAAATATATAGTGAATTTATAAGTTTGCCATACATATTCAGTAGATTGGTTTTAAGATATGGCAGCCAAGTGTTTGAGTTCTCCACTGTGGCAGTTTGCAAGTTTGATGACCAGAAGAGCTTGCTAGAGCTTGTCATAGTAATATTTAAATATGTCAGCAGGAACATCCAGTTTTCAAACATGTAGATGGACTAGTTCAAGGTGTCTACTATCTCATCATTCAAGAGAATGAGTTTCACTCATATTTTTGTGTTTACACTACAGCGTAGATAATTTTGAAGATAGCAGTCAGGAAGTGGCATCCTTAGTATCTGTTCCTGTTACATGGCTTTATTGTGGTTTGGGCGTCAGTAATCGCTGGACTTTCGAACTTCCTGTAGAAAAGAAGAGTAATGCTTCTTAACAGCCTCCATTGTGATGTCTCTGTGTTGGTTGTGCATTAAGAGCAGTAATGAGTTTTGGACTGTTAGATATCGTTATTTTAAAGCAACACATGAGAACCACAATAAAGCCTTATTAAAGTGAAAGAAAAACTTCACATTTCAAATAATCTGTTAATTTCATCTAAAGACTAGTAGAGCATCTTGTCTGCTTTAAATATTGTGGACTAGATGCTGTTTTAAATAAATGTAGCCTATGTCAGTTAGGAAGGCACCCTAGTGTTATGAAAAGAGCACTGGATTAAAAATCATCCGTGTATTTGTAGGCCTGGCTATGTGACTTTTGGCACGTTTTCTGACCTCCTTGGGCCACCTCTTTTTTCTTATTCCTAAAATAAGAAACAACAACAGTTCTCATATCTGCTTCCCTAGAGTGCTGATGAGATTAAATAATGTGTGGAAAGGTACTTGGGAAAGAATAAAGTGCCATACATGTTTGAAGTGTTCTTGTAACTATGCTTATATATAATTCAGCTCTTTTGAAATCAATAAGTAGCATACAGGTCATAATTTGAGACGGGGGAAAAGATTGCCATGAGGAAAAGCACTGTCACTTCAGATTTTAAAGAGTTCACAAATGCTTACCCTCCACGGGTTTTGGGTGAAGATCTGTGGAAGGTGATTGGAAAACATCACATTTGTATTTTTGTTTTGTTTTAATGATTACCTGCTACTTAGAAGTTTGATTCCTGGAGCTGGAGCAGAATGAGCACTTTATTTATGTATTTATTTATTTTTGAAAGTATCCTTTTTTTTTTTCTTTTTGTCCGAGCCACACAGCTTGAGGGGTCTTAGATCCCTGACCAAGGATTGAACCCGGGCCTTCGGCAGTGAGAGCACAGAGTCCTAACCACTGGAACACCAGGGAGTTCAACAGAATGAGCAGTTTAGAGTATTGGCAAAGGTGGAAGATTAGATTAGAAAAATCTTCTGCAGATAATGTGTTGCTTCACGTGTCTTAAATGATGGTGGTAATACTGACCTGTGGAACTATAGGGCTGTTGTAAAAGTTAACAAAATGTTATTCAGGTTCTCTTTATTACTGTTTTCATTGCCAGTGATTGCTAGGTATATGTGCAGTTAAAAGTATGACCTTTAACCTTCTGTTTATAGCAAAGCCTAGGAGACAGTGGCACTTTTTTTCTCCAATGACTTGTTACTTAAACTTCATCATCCCCGGATTTAGGGGTAGATCAGACAGGGGACATGGAATGACTGCTAAGAAATCAATAGGGGATCATCTCAGACAGCCAAGGTCCGCTCTCCTGAGCCCTGTTCTTTTTCCTCAGCACAGTACACTTATTGACTTCAGCAACTGCCTTTTCTTTGAGCTGAGATTTGCTTTCATGAAAATAACACTTTAGTTGTAAATGCTAAAAGCAACCAGTCTCAATTAGAACAATAACCCATATAGGATTTGGTCTTTAAAGCTTGCATAACTTTTTGTGCTTTAGTTTAATAATTTTGCTCCAGCTCTCACTGTGTTGTATCAATTGAGAAATTAATCTCTGTAGCATCAAGTCATTTGTTGTAAAAATCTATAACGGAGTATATTTTAGGCATCCAACTGTCTGTTTTAAAAGATAATATAGAAAAGTCTCATAGTTTTAGACAACTTTCTTCCTCTCGAGAACTTCTAACTAAACAGGAATCTAGTTTACCTTGTTTTCTAGGCTTTTATTGTCAAAATATTTCCTGCAGCAATAATGCTCATAAGGTACTGTATTCAACACCATTGAATTATTCGTGTTGAAAACTGTATAAAGTACTTCTTGGGTTCTTTGGAACATACAGTTGAAAACTGGGGAGTGGTATTTGCCGACTGGTCATCAATGAGTAATGGAATTCAACAGCCAGGCTGTTTTGCACGTCAGGCCCCCATCAGGCTGCTGGATCCTAAGACTTGCCCATGGTTTCCCTGTGGACGTACACAGTGACTGACTGTGGGTTCCTTAGCATGTTCAAATTTAGTCATTTGCTGGAAATTGAGCTTTTGGATTTTGTAAGTTCTTTGTCCTCCTCATTTGAAAAATATTTAAATGGTATTGCCCAAAGGGCACACGGAGAAACAGCATGACTTTCGGGAAATTAGTAAGCAGTAGAGTTATTTTTAGCTTTTACTCCTAGCAAACATTTCCTTTTGTTCTTTAGAAGACATTGTTGATCTGTTCATTCATGTGCTGTGCCCTCTCCCCAACTACAGGGTGGCTTCAGAGAGAATAAGCCCTCTCTTCTCTACTCTGCGTGACAGAATTGTGTTAATTCTCATTTAATTTTAACTCATGAGTTATTCATTTGTTCATGTTTTTCTAGGTTCTGAAATACCACTGCCACCACCAAATACACACATACATTTTATTGTTATTTGGGGTTGATTTTCCCTCTCATCAGCAAATACTAACCAAAAAATGTTCACACAAGCAGGATATACAAAATTTATATTTTTTTCAAAATATTGTACAGTGATAGTTGATGGTGTGATTTTGTCTTTATTTACTTATTTTACAACTATAATATTTAGAAAGTTATGCAGTTAGTATTACAGAATCCCAAATCCAGGATAGATGGTTATAGAGGCTGGCCTTTACACCTCAATCTCATGTGTGAACTTTGAAAAATCTTCCAGTATATAGAGGAAATCAGATTTTTAAGGAAGCACACTGAAACCTCGCTTTTACTATTCACATAAAGGCAAGTTTGATATAAGACTAGATCCAAGATGATTTCATCAATTTGTCACATCGTAATTTAGCCTTTTTTTCTTTGATTTTTCTCTGAGATAGAGCGGTATAATAGCATTTGTGGTTAAAATTGGGGTTCTGTAGTCCGACCACCTGGTTTAAAATCCTAGTTCTACCATTAATCTCAGTATACCTCAATTTCCTTATCTCATAAATGGAGATTACCGTGCTTTATACAGTTGTTTTGGAATTTAAATCAGATAATCCATGCAAAGAGCCTAGCAAAATGCCTGACATAGTAAAGTCTCCATAGATGTTGGCTATTATAATTATTGTATAAAATTATTTTATCTATCATGTTGGATGTAGTTATTTTTAGAAGATTATATACAAGAAAGTGGCAAAATACTCAGTTTTCTGGAGCCCTTGACTCTTTACCTGTAAGAATTTTTTATGGGGATAAAAAATTATTTACCTGTCCTCAAACAGAGTTTACCTCATTCCAGTGCCTAGTGAATTTAGTTTCCCTTGGCCCTTCAGTAGTTGCAGCTCTTCATATCTAGAATCAGCACAATTATAATAGGAAGTCAAGCAAAACATTTTTTTTCATAAAGAGAGGAAGGCAGAATGTGAGGTGGCGTTGACATCTGTGCCTCTGCCCTGGGCCAAAAACAGAATGGTTATTTGCTTCTGATTTGGCAACCAGTCTGCTGCCTTCTCCAGTGGTTAAGTCGCCTTCCTTTCCCTTTCTTCCATTTAGAGCCCCAGGGATGATGAAGTCAGAGAGAGAAGACTGGGATGTGAAGCATCTAAATAGGGAAACAGGACAGAGGTTCAGGGAAAGATAACAGAATAACCCCCATTCTGCTGCTGACCCAGTTGGGTAAATGCTAAATATTCCTCTGCCAATGGCAGTTTTACATGAGTTCTCTGGACGGTGTGAAGGTTGAAAAACACCAGCCTGTCTAGTGAATTCCCATCTTTCTACTCAAGAGCTTTCTAACATCTGATTCAACAATTTACTAAACTTTCGTTTTTTAAATAAAACTTTTTTTTTTAACGCTTAGCCCACACCCTCAGAATAAGTCCTTTATTTTTACAGTGGGTACTTTAACTTCTGAGTATATCAGTTGTTTCTCTTTTCTCATAGCTGCATTTAACTCACCTCACTTGCCAACTATTATAGTGCTAAATCCCACTGAAGGGGCTTCTTGTTTTAAGGTAACATCTTCTACCCAATCTGAGAGGTACAGCTCTGGCTTTCTACAACACGGTTGTCTTAGAAACACTTATTTAAAGTTTAGAACACGAAACACCACACACATGAAAAGGGCATCTGTCTGTAATGTTGTAATTTAACTCTTTAACTGATTTAGATGGAAACTTGAGTAGTTAAATAATAGACTGATGAATGCCCCAGAAAGGCATGTATTGAGTAAACAAAGATATGCAAATAGAAAGGGGAGCTAGGGAGAGATTTGTCTTAGATCTCTTGGATCTCTTCATTTTTAGTGGGAAATTCCTTTCGGGTTTTGTTTTGTTTTGTTTTGGGTCTTTTTGGCTGCCCTGAGTGCCTTGTGGGATCTTAGTTCCCCAACCAGGGATCGAACCCGCGCCCTCAGCAGTGAAAGCGCAGAGTCTTATTAACTGGACTGCCAGGGAATTCTAATGGGAAATTCTTTTAAAATATTTTTACTTTCAAAGCTTAAGGCTTCTTTTAACTTAGACTGATTTTTTTTTCAGTTATGATTTCTTAATGATTGTTCCAAGTGTGTTCTGTGATTCAAAAGAATGAAATATTAGTTTAATAAAGGGTATTTGGGGGTTATTTTTCAGGCTGCTTGGCTACTGTGTTTTATTTTCAATATAAATTTGAGGTTATCCTAACCATTCAAAGAAGTAGTTGACTCTGATTCTGATTTAAGTTTTGGTGAGTCTTAATTATAATTCATCATATATGTAGTTTTCATTCAGTGCTTTTTAAAAAAGACCTTTATGTTTACTTTTTAGACCGACTTTGCACGATTTAGTGGAACAAATGTGGAAACTGACTTCGTAGAGGTGCCATCACAAATGCTTGAAAATTGGGTGTGGGACGCTGATTCCCTCCGAAGACTGTCAAAACATTATAAAGATGGAAGCCCTATTACAGATGATCTGCTTGAAAAACTTGTTGCTTCTAGACTGGTCAACACAGGTATGACTTATAATTTTAGAAAATAAACTAGAATTGCTTAATGGAGAATTGGTGGCATCTTTTTTCTTTTTTTCTTTTTTTTTTTTTTTTTTAGGTAAGATGTGGATTTATTTAGAGAGATACACATTCCATAGACAGAACGTGGACCGTCTCAAAAGGCAAGAGCGGCACCAGAGCATGGGGTCGTCTCAGAAAGTGAGAGCGGCCATGAGAGAAACACACTCCACAGACTGAGTGTGGGCCATCTCAGAAGCCAAGAGGCCTGCTGCATCTTCTTCTATAGAACTTATTTCGTCTTTTGTAATGATAGTACCCCCAGAGTGTTAATATGAGAAGGGAAGACTGCTAAGTATATTGGAATACTGAACCCTGAAATTATGTCCAAGAAAAAAAAATACATCTTTTAAATCTTAAATAGAATGAGATGTCTTGCTCCGATTTTGCAATGAGTACTACAGGAATCAGTTTTTGAAATCTGTGATGTATGATTAGAACACGTAGTTCTCTCTTCTCCAAAACATGTCCAACATTCTTATGTTATTAGGTCTCCTGACCTTACGCCAGATTGTTTTGAGCAAAGTTGATCAGTCTCTCCATACGAACACTTCGCTGGATGCTGCAAGTGAATATGCCAAATACTGCACAGAAATTTTAGGTGTTGCAGCTACTCCAGGTACGTAAATACGATCACTAAAAGTTCACGCTTCCTGTGAAGCACAGGGTATACTCCTAACACTGCCAGAGAAGGTAGAGTTTGTCAGGCAGTTTGCCTAATATAATTTGCTTCTGATTTCTGAAATCAGACCATGACTTTCAGGTCAGCATACTCTGTCCTCAGAGTTATCCTGTCCAAATGTGCTTGACGGGGAGGCGGCGCCAGCTTTGCAGCATTTTAGTGTGATCAGGCGTGAGCAGTCGGCCTCCACCCCAGAGCAGAGAACGCCACTCCTGTTTGGCAGCACCGCCTGGCTCTGCCCTCCCTGTGTGCACCATGACTTCCCTAGGGTTTCGGTAAGATGTTGCCAGAAGGGGCAGTTTGAGAGAAAGGCGCAAGCTTCTACCTTGTGTCTGATTCTGCTTCTGAGGTCAGTTAAGGCAGTTTGACCAGCAGTTTCTAACCTGGTATTATTTATGAGATTCGTGTGAGTGGGTGGGAGATGCTCAGACATATGCTATGTTACATTTATATTTGTATATTTTAAGCAAACATGTAGCTGTACGTGTATACGTAGTTGGAAAGGTGAGTTTTTTCTATCAAAGAAATTGTTGTTTAATTGAATCAGTCACATTTATACCCATATTAAAGGTCAGAATAGCCCATTGAGTTCATCCAGGCTCCTCGCTTCCTTTTGTGATCTGTTTCTAGTAGGCTGAACAGCAACTTTGTGCCTCAGGCCACTTGGACAAAATCCTTTTGTAAAGTAGCCCTAGAGGTAGATTGAATTGGTAAGACCTTTTTAGCTCTTCATGTAAAGAGTTCTTTTTCAGTAATTATGAACCTCAAATAAGTGCCATACTGATACTGTTTCAGATATAAATAGGTGTGACAAAGAGTAGGCTTAATATTATTAGAGTATTTGTAAGACACATATGTGTCTAAGGGATAAGAAAGGAGCGAGTTGTCTGATAGGTGTGGACAAAACCTCTGAAACTATTGTTAGGCATTCCAGAGCTTAGGGCCGAAACCAGCTCTGAGGCGGAGCTGTCATAGGAGAGAAGTATGTAAACATCTTGGCCAACGGCACCCATAAACGCAGGGAGTACTAGAGGTGAGGACCTACCACTGTCTCCTCCCACAGCTGGACTCCCCATAGGGAAACCTTAGCTAGCTGAGACCCTGCTATTTAACATTTGCCATCACACTGATTGAAATGTATCTTTCTTTAAAGGCACAAATATGCCAGCAACTTTTGGACATTTGGCAGGGGGATATGATGGCCAATATTACGGATATCTTTGGAGTGAAGTATTTTCCATGGACATGTTTTACAGCTGTTTTAAAAAAGAAGGGATAATGAATCCAGAGGTATTGTATTTTTTTTCCTCCTTTTGTTACTTCTGTAGTTGCCCCCTCCCCTTTAACTCCTAGTAAAAAAAAATATTTATTACACCTAGACTTTTAGAGTAAGAGATCTGATAACAAATCTTAACTTGAAAGTCTGGCATCTTCTCACATCATCATACATCATTAAGTTGCTTTGTGTAAGTGATTAATCCTCTAAGTTAAAGAAAAACCCTACTGCATTTTCTTGCTTATTAACATTCCAATATATTGCATAATTAAAATTCAAAGCTTTGTTTATGCATTTGAGCATTTATAGCTGCCAGTTTTGTCATGTGCCATACAGTGTTTTAGTTTTATAGGAGGTTGGGAAAGAAAGGTAAACTCCTTCCTGATATAAATGGTCTGCCTATGTTTTGATATACTCTACACACTTTCATTATATATTTGCTGTGGAAGGCACCCTTCTTTCTGTGATTGGCATGCGCCGCCTACTACATGGTTTGTAACCTAAATGCCTTTAAGTAATTTAAGCTGCTTCATTAACCTGAGCCATTCCTTTCTGAGTACAGTGAATTCACTGCCAGGTGGCTGCCAGCCAAACCTTCCTGAGTTACAGTCCCTCACAGTCTCCACTCTTGCTGAAGACTCAGCTGTCAGATTATTTCTAGGGCTGATGGATTTTCCAGTGTGTTTTTCATTCTGTTTTATTTAGAAATTAGAAGAACAAATTATCAAAATCAGGTTCTCTGTGCTTATTTCAACCAACTGATCTGTTCTCCAGACTTTATTGCATACTACCTTACACATATGCACTGAAAGACATTGATGTAATTTGGGCCACCGTCCCTTCCCCCAGCCCTTCGCCCCCAAAACACCACCTCCAGGACACTTACATTCTATAGACTAACCTTTCCAATCCCTGCATCTTCAGTCCCACCCTACCCAGGCTGTTAGGTCCCTGTAAGTCTCTTTCTATTCCCTGGCCACCCCACTTAAAACGATCAACCACTAACTTGTTCTCATAAATACCCTGACTCCTGCATGACCTTCAGCCAGTGCCCAGCCCTGGATTCCTCTACCATCTCATTTAGAGATGGTGACCTTGGAATTCAGTCTTCTGGGGAAGATCTTGCGGCTCCACTTAATGCCCCACTGCAGTCATGCTGTCGAACTGCACTGGACGCCCAGTGTGACTCCACAGTCCTGCTCTACTTACCTTATTGGGGTCCCCACCCTCTCTCTCTCTCTCAGCAAATGCTCTCTCCTCTCTACTAAGAACATTAAGATTATTGACAGTGAGTACCTTCATCTTTCTTTCTCTTTCTGTACTTCAATATTTATCTTCTTTCCTCCTGTCTCAGGAGACATGTCTATAATACTAAGACTTACTGGTTTGCCATCTCAGGAAAAAAACTTACCACTGACTCTGATAATTTCAGTGCTACTACTCAGTTGTTCTTCCTTTCACAGCCTACTCTCTTGGTGTAAGAAACAGTTTCTGCAAACCTCTGTTTCCCGGCTTTTGCCTCCACCAACTGAACTGGAAAGTTACCCTCCCTCCAGAGTTACCTACTACTGATGATCCAATCGCCAGCTCCCAAAGGCCCTCATCTACCTTTTGTTTTACTTTATGCTTCTTGGTATTCCTCTCTTTGTCACAGCCCTTAGCTTAGCAAACAAATCCCTCTGCACTTCCCAGAACTCGCAGTGTGTCAGCCAAATTTGTATGTTCCCTTGTGTCTTTCCTCCTTCACAAATTTATTCATTGTACTTCTTCCACCTAAAACGTATGCCTTCCTTGTCTGTGCCTCTCCAAAATCGTACCATTCATAAAGGCCCTATTCAAATGAAATCTTCCAGATCATCGAAACCAGAAGTGATATTTCCATTCTCTGAACAGAAGAGTGAACTTGGGCATGGGGTAAGGGTTTCAATAAGCTTTTTCTTGTGTCTGGAATGTTTAATATAACTATTATACAAAATGAAAAAAATCAGGTTATAAAATATTTTACACCATAGAATGCGAATTTTGATTTTAAAATATGCATTCAGGAAAAAAAAGTACATCAAAATGTTGTCAATTGTTATCTCTGAGTGGTAAGTTTCTGAGTATTAAATATTTTTCTGTACTTTTTATGGAGCTTTTTCATATTTTTACATAGAGCATGAATTATTGTAGAAATCAGAAAACAATGTTTAGAGAGACACAAGGTCCAGATATGCAAAGGTACAATTACGACCTCCACTCACTCTTAGTAGTTGGCGAGGCTTCCTGGCGTAATTGCTACAGCACCTCTTTCACCGCCCCTGGTCCGCTCACATGACTACATCCCCAGGAGCCTCCACTGTCTCCTCTCTTCTTCCCGCTGTCAAGGTAACAGCCAAAGTACTGATCCCAGTGGATCCCAAGGAACTTGCAGGTCCAGCAGGAGCCATCCCTGCCATTATGCTTCTATGTACCTCCTTTTATCTCAGGCTTCACAGCTTGGCAGGCAGCCAGGCTACTCTTAATTCAGACAAAAGGGCTGGGTTGAATGTGGAGAAAGCAAGATTCCCTACAACTTGGAGTTGTTGCCTTGTGAGGTTAAAAACAGTTTTCAGTTTTACTAAAATTCTGAATTCAGCTGTACTATGTATTATTACTCATCTTATGCCAGGAAGCTGGCTTTAATCCCTTCTTTTTTCCTTCCTATTAAATACTCTGGAATATCGTCATTTCTTGCTCCCCTGCTGTCACAGCAATAGTGAGTCTGGCTCCAGTGGCCAAGGAGAATCCCATTGCACCCATCCTCACGCTCTTCACTGCAGTGGCAGTTATGGGAATAGCTTTTTATTTTTTTATTTTTTAAATTAATTATTTATTTTTGGCTGCATTGAGTCTTCATTGCTGCACGCGGGCTTTCTCTAGTTGTGGCGAGCGGGGGCTACTCTTCGTTGTGGTGTGCAGGCTTCTCACTGCAGTGGCTTCTCTTGTTGCAGAGCACGGGCTCTAGGCGCACGGGCTTCAGTAGTTGTGGCTCGCAGGCTCTAGAGCTCACGCTCAGTAGTTGTGGCGCACAGGCTTAGTTGCTCTGCGGCATGTAGGATCTTCCTGGACCAGGGCTCGAACCCGTGTCTCCTGCATAGCAGGTGGATTCTTAACCACTGCACCACCAGGGAAGCCCAGGAACAGCTTTTTAAATAGCCATTCTATACCCTCCTACAGTGTACTGCTTGTTTGGTTTTGTTTTAATTTTTTTTTTTATTTTTACAAATGTTTGCTCTAAAATAACACCCAATATACACAATTTAAATATCCATTTATTTAAAATTAACACTTTGGAATAACAATCCTGTTCTACAAAAAACTTCAGTCATTATTACAACTATGTTGTGATGAAGGGAAAGAATTTTTGTGGTATAAAGAAATACTGAATTTGATCTGAAGTCATGGGAATCAGATCAGTCACAATATATCATGCAGACTTTGTTGTCTCAAGGTCCCTCACACTCCCTAGTGTATATTTGGAGCATTTTGAGAAGATAGCAGAATGCCCCTTCAAGGAGTCAGTGCCTGCTATTCTTAGTCCCCAGCTCTAGAGAGGCTCGGGGCTGAAAGATGATGTATTGTTGACATTATTGTTCATGGTCATTAGTATCGACAAAAGAACACCTCCAGGCCCTCCCTCTGTAACCTCTTACCATCCTGCAAAGCCCAGGGACTGGTTGAGAACCATTTCAGATCTTAGCAAGCAGAACTATAGAAAGTGTGCTACTCACTGGGAAAACAGTAATGGGAAGGGTCAAATACAAACCTGCAGGCTTCTGAATATCAAATGTTAGCAATAGAATATTTTACAGTACAATCGTTTTTATTGTTTCGATGGCCTCTATCAAAGTGTTAGAACTGGCCACTTACCTGTAATAGCCTAAAAGTTTGCTACCTCTGGTTTTATCTGTAATTTTCTATGTTCTTCATAGTAAATAGGTGTAACATCTTGACTGTTTAATCAGTTTGTTAAATATTACCTAAAGCCTTCGTTTCTAGTAAACATGGAGAAGTTGTCTCAACAGACATACCTTTTACTTTTCCAACTCATCTCTTAAATAACTATGGAAGGGAGCTGCTTGGGAGTAACACTTTTCCAGCAAACTCTAGCTCTTTCAGGAGCCCTTTAAGATTGCCAAATGTAGTTTCAAAATCTAGCAGCTAATCATAGTGTTGCAAGAATAAGGGCATTTTAACTAGGGCCATTTCTTTTTTTCTCTTTATTTATTTATTTATTTTTGTGGTACGCGGGCCTGTCACCTCTGTGGCCTCTCCCGTTGCGCAGCACAGGCTCCCGACGCGCAGGCTCAGAGGCCATGGCTCACGGGCCCAGCCGCTCCGCAGCACACGGGATCCTCCCAGACTGGGACACAAACCCGCGTCCCCCGCACCGGCAGGCGGACTCTCAACCGCTGCACCACCAGGGAAGCCCTTTTTCTCTTTTTTTAAAATAAATAAATTAATTAATTGTTTTTGGCTGCATTGGGTCTTCGTTGCTGTGGGCGGGCTTTCTCTAGTTGCAGCAAGTGGGGGCTACTCTTCATTGCGATGTGCAGGCTTCTCACTGTGGTGGCTTCTCTTGTGGAGCACGGGCTCTAGGAGCGCAGACTTCAGGAGTTGTGACACACGGGCTTCAGTAGTTGTGGCTTGTGGGCTCTAGAGCACAGGTTCAGTAGTTGTGGCACACGGGCTTAGTTGCTCGGTGACATGTGGGATCTTCCCGGACCAGGGCTCGAACCCGTGTCCCCTGCACTGGCAGGCGGATTCTTAACCCCTGCACCACTAGGGAAGCCTGGGCCATTTCTTTTTATAAGGCAACTTCATTGTGGGAAAATTTCCTAAAAGTTAATAGACATTGTGGATTCAAAGGCAATTATATTGTTGCGCTAGAATGATGTTCCTCCTCTTCTGCATTTAGAGTAATTGCTAAGCTTCGTTTTTTTCCATCAGTGAAGAAGAAATACAAACAAGTATCACATGCAGAAAGGAATAC